GTGTTTCCGCAGGCTGGCTCTCTGGTGTCATGGACACATAAGAGGTTTTCTGCTGTGTTGGGATCTCCCTTGTGGATGCCTCCAGCCTCCTGACCTATCAATAAAAGAGATTCTCAGGCGCAGGAAGCTAAAAGAGAGTGTTTTTCGGGCTGGTATTGTCGTGGGACCTCCTCCTCCAAGGGCTGGTGTTGTCAGGTCACCTGATGTCTTTCAGTGAGACAGAGGAGTCCTAGCCCAGGCCCTTAGGACAGTGCTTCCCCTCAGCTGCTTATGTCAGAGGCTCCCAGCTGATCTCTCTTGATGCTCCTGACTCAGCTGGTGCTGGGGGTGTGCTCCTATTCCTAAGTGGTGGTGGTTGTTAAGTGCTGTTGATCACACCTCCTAGTATCCTATGAACAACAGATCTGAACCCTGTTCTATCCTGTGCTATCCTCACACTTCCCGACACACTTGAGGTCACTGTCATCCCATCTTGTTGAGGGTCTTCCTCACTTTTGCCGACCCTTCACTTGTCCAAACATGATGTCTTTCTCCAAGGAACAGCCTCTTCGAGCACATGCCCAAATAGGAGAAAAAGCTTTGTCATCTTTGCCTCCAAGAACACTCTGGCTGTATTTTCTCCGAGACATACCTGTTTTGTTTTTTCTGCAGTCCATGGGCTAGTCATTACTCTTCTCCAACACCACTGCTCAAAGGCATCAGTAATTTGCCATGCTTATTCCGTGTCTGACTCTCAGAGGTACAGCAAGGGATGCTGGGTTGAGAGGTGGGGAACCTGGGTTTAAGTCATCTTTGGCAGGGCAGACACCTTGCTATTCTTTATTTCTCCAGCCTGGGGTCCCTCAATTGTTCGTCTTTCTCCACTCCCAAGCCCTGCCTTTCAGGGTTTTTGGTTGATTCTGATAATCTGGTTAATTCTGGTGCAGGCATTATCACTTGATTTTCTGTTCTAACTTGTGATTGTCCTGAATCTTCCCCAATATTAATGGAAATTGTCTTGATGAGGATGAACAAATCTAGACCATCTTGTTCAGACCAGAGGTCCCAGCACATCACAGTTCTCATGCTTTGCTATCTTCCAGGGAAGGACAGCAAACAGTCACAAGACATGCTGGCAGATGCAAGTCTAAGGCAAGACCAGGCCACGTTTTCTTCAGCCATACGTTAGCTGGAGTCCCGCCACACCCTGGCTGATAGGTTAAGCTCCAGTTCCTTCAGTGCTGAAGCCCACTGTGCTGCGCTGGCTGCATTTTTCCCACAGCCTCACTTACCAGCTGCACCCTACATCCACCTGTCTTTCCTCTTCATCCTCGTGAGCTCGCCTGTGCATTCCCCACCCAACGGCCTTCCTCTCCCTTCACAGTCGGACCCCCTGTTCCTCTGTAAAATGTCATCTAAGCAGCTATGCTTCATTTCCCAGGAAGCAATTAGCATGTGTTTGGGGCACTTACAGAAGTATTTTCATTCTTCACTAGTGGATCGTGTGCCCTAAAGGGTCACCACCACATTCTGTACTGCTCACCTCTGCCCGTGTGTCCAGCCTATTGCAAAAAATTGATGAGGAAGATCAGACCACTGACTGTCAAAAGAAAGCAAATGCAATCAGGGGAGAAAGAAATTCTGGCAGTGACAGGAGAAACCAAAACAGCTGTGCTCCTGATTCTGGTAAGGAAAAGTAGGTTCTAGGGAGAACGAGCTATGGTCTTTGTTTTATTCTCTGGAATGTGTCCTTTGAGATTCCACTGCTGGCTCCAACTTTAAGGATGGTATCGGAAGGTAAGCCATTTAGCAGAAGGTGTTATTTAGAACCGCACCTCTTGAACTGTTTTTACATGGCTCGCAAAAAAAAAAAAAAATGAGACTTCAGAGAAGTTAGTCTGCTACACAGGGGCCACTGATAGGCTCCCACACGTCAGCTCAAGGCTGGCTACTACATCAGTCTTCTGACAAAGCAAGTGAGTCCCGCGTTCCCCTGTGTTCCAGCTGCATTACATTAAGGCATCAAGAAGGAAAGGGCTAGGGAAGCTCTGGTGGCCTAGTGGCAAGGAGCTGCAATTATAATCCCAGAGGCACACGGTTCAAATCCACCAGATGCTCTGCTGGGGAAGGAGGGACAATCTCCTCCTGTGCCAGTCAGATCTGATTTGACAGTACACTCACACAAAAATAATAAAATAATAATGAAAAAAAAAAGAAGGAAAGGGCTTTCTCAAATCCTGTCAACCACCAAGCACCCAGGGAACCGGTGAATAATGGAAGGCACTCGTGACATAGGAACTTGGCTTTTTGAGACTGCATGCATTTTTAGATCAGACGACACTGGAGAGGAGAAAGAAATCAAGGTGACCTTGATTCCGTCTGCAGGACATTTCCAAGGAAAGCAGGGTATCATCTGTACCTCGGTGCCATTGGAATGAATGCAATTTGTGCAGAACGAAGCTGGTGATTGCTCAGAAGGTGCACCTGCCCCACGTCCTACCCTCGTTTTTTCCAACAGAACGCCTGAGAAACCTTTTGTTTCTGGAGCATAAGGCTGCTAGCCCTTATTTATGGTCCTGGTCAAGTTCAAAGGTGCTTAGGAGCATAACTTGCATCGTTTCTTTAAACAAGAAAGAAAAGAATCAAGATCTTAGGTGTTTGTCACAACCTACTACACTGAAGCCGAGAGAATACTGGCCTGACCAACCTGCTTCCAAACATGAAGAGTTAAAAAATATTAAAGACTTTTGTTCTAATAACTTTTGTCTTGAAAATTCAAAAGGAATTAGTGTAATCAAGTTAAGACATTATAATGCAATTAGTGAATTTTCTGTTTCAGAAGATGAGGGGCCCATTATAAACTAAAAACAGAAAAACCATTTTTTTTCCCTTGGTGGAGGCAGACGGGGATAGATTTTTCACATTAGCTTGGGCAACAGGGAACAGGAGGAGATTCTTCTCAGAAAATGGGATTTCATGGAGGACCATAACACATCGTTAAAGCTGAGTGAAATGAGCCTTCCTGTTCTGTGTGGTCAGGAGCTCTGTCAGCCTAGAGCGTGAGGCGCTGTGCTGTCAATCCAAAGGTACACAATTCAAATCCCCCAGCTGCTCTGCAGGAGAAAGATGGGCAGTCTCCTCCCATGATTTACAGTGTCTGGAAAGCTGCTAGAGGGTCAGCTATGATTCTAGAATCAATTCCAGAGGCACTGTGGTTAAGGCACTTGCCTTCCAACACAAAGGTCAGTGGTTCAAACTCACTGCCTGCTTCACAGACTTTTAGCCACTCCAGGGGACAAAGATGAGGGAAGCCTGCTTCACAAAACTCTACAGGGCCAACCTTCCACATCCTACAGGGCACCACGATCAGAACTAACTCGACAGCAGTGAGTCTGACTAATCTGTGATCACTAAGTGCTATTCTGTGATCACTAAGAAGAGTGGTGGTGGTGCAGTGGGTTACATGGTGGGCTGCTAACTGGAAGGCTGGTAGTTCGAATCCACTAGCTTCTCTAGTAGAGAATGGGGAGAGAGGTCTTCTCCTGTTTTCAGCCTTGGAAGCCTGAGGGAGGGTCACTACTGAGTTGAACTGAACTTCATGGCCATGAACTTGAGGGTTTTGATATTCTGATCACTAGTACAATATGATTTTTTAAATGAAGAGGGCAGTATGAACAAAGTCATATTTCTTTGGCCTCCATTCTATCTCAGCCTCCTCAGTGGACCAGGTGGCCCTGAACTATGTGGCTGATCGCATACTGGTGTCTTCATGTGGGCACAGCCCAGGGGTCTAAAGCTGTCTTTGTGGTATTTCACGTCCAGTAGCCCCAGAAGGAGACATGCTCATTACTGAGAGTTGTATTCTGGACATGGTTCTGACAACCACTCTCAGAAAAAAAATGGATTTATTTGTGGAGACCTACCACCATCAAGTGGATTCTGACTCAGAAGAACGCCTGCTAGATTTCCAAGGCTGGAAATCTTACAGGAGGAGACTGTCCACCTATCCCCCACAGAACAGCTGGAGGATTTGAACCAATAACCTTTTGGTTAGCAGCACAGAACTTTACCGTGTGCGCCACCAGAGCTCCTTCAGAAATGTCAACAGGGATGTGAAGATGAGGTTTTTCTCTTCCAAGTCACCTAGGAGACATGATCCACTGAGATGTTCTGAAGACATTGGTGGGCACCTGAGACATCACCACCTGAGGGTTGCAGATCAGCATGGGAGCAGGTTTGCAGAGGCAGTGCCTTCTGCCCCAGCCAGCCTGCCCGAGCGCACTTACACTTTAATCCCCGTGCTGGGATGCAACCTTGTTTCCCTCTTGCTGGAAGAAACCATTGCAAGATGCTCGGGGTGGGGGAAAGAACCTAAAAGACTGAACTCTTTCTCCTGTCCAGGGCCAAAAGCAGCAAACTCGTGTCCCGAGAAAAGCTGGGCAGACTGGGGTTGATCCGAAAGTGAATTTCAATCACCAACAGAAGCAAAAGAAACCAACCAACTCACTTAATGTTTAACTTTCTCTTTTTTAAAAAATAATTATTAGAATTTTATCAGTTAAGGAATAGCAGCTGGTGGGAAGAAGACAGAAAAAAGAATACAACTGAAGAATCCTTAAGAACATCAAGTATTTATAACTTAAGTTTCATACTTTAGAAGGTCACTCACTGCCCAACAGCTTGTTGAAACAAAGCAACTTCCAAAGTGACTGATGACGGAGCCCGCTCATCAGTTCCACTCATGTCCACTGTCCTCCGGCCCCGGCCACAGCGTCTGGGCCTGACCGCAGGAACTGTGCTGGGTCAGAGACGCCACAGTGGTGGCGTGAGGTTAGCCCTGGACGTCAGAGGCGCTCGCTCAACTGATGCAGGAACACTCTGGGCCCTGCAATGTCCCTCCCCTCCCTGAACACTAAGGCGCAGGCCTTGGTGGGGAGCACGCTCCTGCATCCTGGAACCTCTCTCCTGTCTCCAGCACTTCTGGGGACTGTCCAACGTGGGGCACTCCCATGTCTGTTAGCTCAGAACGTACTCTCGAGCAGACAGTGGCACCCACAGCCGGTGGGACACACCTCCTGGGTCCGGAACCACTCCATCATGTGGCTGGTGTGGCCCCCGTGCCCACACGTCAGGCAGAAGTTGGACGAGCCCCGCACGGCCACGTGGCAGATGGCACACTGAAACGTGAAGCCTTTGCAGATGGCACACTGCGTGCCACGTACCTCGCTCCGGCAGTGGCTGCAGTACACGCCGAATTCTGGAAACAGGGGTGACGTCCACAAAAGAGAGAGAGAACAACAGTGCATTTAGTTCTGAGAAACAGAAAACGGGGACTGTTGAGTTAGATATAGTGCAGTGGTTTCAAACTTCAAAAACAAAACAAAACACTCAGCAGAACCCCTCTTCAAAAATCTAGTGAGTCTCACTTAAGTGGTAGAGGGAATGCAGTGGGCACAGCTGGGTCACCTGCCACAAACAACGGGACAATCTCGTAGGAAGGCCATGTGGAGATAAGTCGTGTTTCATGCTCAGAGCTACCAGGAGGCAACAGCACTGAGCAGTGGTCTGGATTTCCAGAACACGTGACTTTGTCAAACCACCCAGAGCGCAAACTCCTTCCACACATCCTCGGATCCCTCTCACCCTTCTCTCACCTGATGGCCTCACCTTCCCTAAGAGACGCTATGAGGTGTGGCCTCTTCACTGATACAGAAACCTTCAACTCACCCTCCCAAGGCTCCTCTCCTTCCTCTGTTACAAGAGAAGGGAGTCCCTTCTCCTATCTACCTTTGACAATAGGTAGTTATGAAAATGTACCAACAGAAATTCCTTGAATGTATGGTAAATACAGAGAAAATATGGAACCCTGGTGGTACAATGGCTAAAGCGCCCAGATGCTTTAAACCAAAAGGTCATGAGTTCAAACCCACTGCGAGAGGAAAATACCAAAGTCTGCTGTCAGAAAACTTGACAGTTTTGGAAATCCTACTGGGCAGTTCTACTCTGGTCTTACAGGACCAACTGTTGTTGTGTACCGCGGAATCAGAACCAACCCTTACCTGACCCTTCAACAGGTTTTCAGAGACAGGAAACTTCACAGGAGGAGACTGCCCATCTTTCTCCCGTGGAGTTGCTCGTGGATTTGAACTGCGTGTCTTTGGGCTGGCAAGTAACTCCTTATCCCTAAGCCACCAGAGCTCGCTATAGGACCGGTAGGAGTTGGAATTCACTTCTACAGCAAAGGTTTGGTTTGGTACATGGGGCACAGTGTCGTGGGGGTGCAGAGGTTATGCATTCAATTAATTCCTGCCAACAAGTTGAAAGGTCGCGGTTTGAATCCACCAAATGGGATCTCTGGTGGAGTAAAAAGGAGCAGCAGAAGGGCGGAATCTCTGGTATCGTGAACCCACCAGCGGTGCTTCTGGAGGAAGACGGGCAATGCCCTGTGGGATTTACAGCCGCCGCAAGCCCGCTCAGAGGGTCAGTGTGAACCAGCTCTAACTCAAGCACTCTGAGTTGGAGTTTTTTGAGGACTACCACAGTTTCCTTGTCATTGAATTGATTCACTCTGGACTCAGAACAATCCTACAGGACAGAGCAGAACTGCCCCACTGGGCTGCCTTTTCCATATCTTTCTCCCAGCAGGGAAATCAGTCTTCTAAAAAAATTACTTGACTTCCTGTCGAGTTGGAACCATGGCTGACTGTCCAGCAGATTTCTGAGGCTATAAACTGTACAGAGAGTTGGGGGTGGGTGGGGGGATCAGTTGACCATACAGATGTAGACATGGTTTCTTTCTGGACTCTATTTTATTCCAGTGGTCTGTGTTTCTACTTTGATACTGCTCCAGGCTCCTTTGGTTACTTTATTATTGTAGCTGTATGTTACTGTTTTGTTATTAAGTGCCATCAAGTTAAGTACAACTCATCCGATTTTGTGTTTATTTTACATATTTAGATACTCTAGTGCTATGGACTGCTAGGAAAACAAACAGATTTGTCCTGGAAAGGGTTAAACCGGGTGGCTCCTTGGAGGCAAGGATTCTGAGGCTCCGTCTAACATACTTTGGACATGTTGTGAGGAGAGACCGGTCCTTGGAGAAGGACATCATGCTTGGGAGGGTGGAGGGACAGTGCAGGAGAGGAAAGCCCTCTATGAGGTGGACTGATTCAGTGACTGGGGTAATTGGGATGGGAGTGTCAGAGACAGTGCGATTGGCACAGGACAGAGCGGAGTTTAGGGCTGGTGTACATAGGGTCGCTATGAGTTGCAGGCGACTCGACGGCACATAACAACAACAACAGTGCTAGGTGCATATATATTTATGATTGTTAAATCCTGATTAGCTGTTGTCCTTCTATGATTATATGTCCACCTTCAACCACTCAGACAGATTTTGTCTTAACAGTTACTTTGTTTAACATTAAGACTGCCACCCTCCTTTTCTTTTGGTTATTATTTGCATGGGGTATTGCTTTTCCATTCTCTCACTTTCAACTTCGAGTCCGTGGACTTCAGCTGTGACTTTGTGAACCATGTACAGTTGGATCATGTGGCATTTAAAAACATTCATTCTGAGGGAGCTCCAGTGGCCTAGTGGCAAGAAATGGCATGGCTATCCCAGAGGTATGTGGTTCAAATCCACCAGATGCTCTGCTGGAGGAGGCGGGGCAATCACCTTCTGTACCAGTCAGATCTGACTTGACGGTACACGCACAAATAATCCTGATAATAAAAAAAATTTATTCTGTCATTCTCTGCCAAAAGAAAGTTGTGAGTCCTTTGTCTAAACATCTAATTCCTTAAATAAAAATAATCTCATCTTCAGATTTGCGATGATGATGTCAGCTGCTATGTGGTGACCCTTGCTGATGCAGAAATCACAAGAAATGGCATTTTCACCACGAGGAGACTAACTGTAACCACAATAACCTACAGTCCTTTCCTTTCAATACTTAACGTATCTGGTGCCTGGAGAGCTTGTTCTTTCAAAGTCAGGACAACTCTGTGGAACTCTGAAGTATTCTGTAAAACTCTGCATATATTTTTTTTCTTTTCTAAATATTTTTTTTGTCTGTGAGTCTTCCTTCCACCATCCTCACCCATTTAAAAGTCTTTCTGATGGCGATTTTGAATAGAACTAGGGCACAGTATCATTGCTGAAGTCCATTTAAGTCTTCCTAAATTTGTTTTAGTTGATTAGATTATAAATTCTTTAACCCCAGAGAGTATACCTTCCATTTCTTTGTACTTCTCACAGAATCCAGCATGAAGCTTGACGGTAATAGATGGCAAAGAGGGTTTAGCTGATTGATGGACTGATAACAGCAGGTAAATAGCTCTGTGATTCATGTATTTTCCTGAAAACTAATTTGAAAAGACAAATTGCTCCAGGCTATCATTAATCTCTCACTGATATACTCTCATATATTTAGATGTGCTGAAAAACATATTGACCAAAGAGAACTCTGTATCTTTCCATTTCTTCACTAACAAAAGAATCCACATGAAAAGAATCATTATTATTCAAGCGCTAAATCTATACATTTCTCTGGCTTTTATTTGTAAATGAAGCCATACAGCCACGTAATTTATAGGGTCAATAGTTCTATGAGGCTTATTACACAGACCAGCATTTCCGACTGTTTCTTTCCTTTTTATATCTCTACCTCTAAGAGAGTATGTTTACAAAACTATTTCTTCATTTTCAAATACCCTCTACTGATGATAATACTCCTGAGAGACAAAGATAGTGACACTGCATCTCACATAGTTGGAGCATGATGTGAGAAGAAGCCAGTCATGCTGAGAAAGGAAGAACCCCAACAAGATGGACTGACACAGTGAGTATAAGAATGGCCTTGAACATATCAGAAACCACGGGGATGGGAGAATAGGGCAAAGTTCTTATCTACTGTTCACAGAGTGGCTATGTTGTTAATGTTAGGTGCTGCCACTGACTCACAGAGACCCTATGAACTTGACAATGACTCACAGCATCCCTATCAACTCAACTGTGACTCATAGTGGCCCCTACAAATATCCGGTCGAAACCCTACCCTATCCTATGCCATCTTCATCATCTCTGCTACATTAAAGCCCACTGTTACAGTCACTGTGTCAAATCCATCTCGGTGAGAGTCTTCCCCTCCATCTCTGAACCTCCACTTTCCCGAGCATGATGTCCTTCTTCAAAGTTTACCGTACTGGGTGGGAAGGAAGACCTGTGTGGTGCTCCTTGCTTTATAATCTGTGTATACATATATATATGCTTGCTGGTTCATAGTTTGCTCTTGTGTGAACAGTATCTGTCTGTCAGTTTGCTGTACTGAGGTAGCCTGTTGGCTCTGTGATGCTGGAAGCTGTGTCCCCAGTATTTTCATACCAACAGGTTATACATGGGAGAAGATTTCAGCAGAGCTTCCAGATTCAGACAGACTAAGGGGAGTTGACCATCCACTTCTGAAATAACTGGCCTTTGAAACTCTTCTGAACAACTGAAGGTTGCTGTGAGCTGTAGTCAACTCAATGGTAGTCAACTCGATAGCACCAAACAGGAACAATGACTTTCCACAGTGGATGCTCCCTTTCATCCTTGATTCTTTCAAACTTACAACCCCTGACAGGAACAGTACCCAGTCAGCAAGGTGAACATGGGCCTTTGCGGGCTTCCTTCCTAAGCTGTAGCACTAACTTTGTTCACTGGGTAATCCATCCCTGACTAAAGTACACTATTGATGAAACCCATTGCTGTTAGGTTGATCCCGTCATAGCAACGCTCCGTCAGGTTTCCAAAAAAGTCTTTAGGCGAGGAGACTGTCCATCTTGCTCTCAAGGAGCGGCTCGTAGATTCGAACCTCTGACCTTTCACTTAACAGCCCAATAAATTTTTTTTCCATTTGCTCGTCTTGAAACCTTTCCGACTGTTCCAATCTGGTGCTCTGTCGTGTAGATCTCCCTCCACCCCCAAACTGACTCACTTCCTGGACTGAATGTTCTCTCTCTTCTTACGCTGGTTGAAGGGTTACTTTCACATTTGGATATCTGGGTCCAGAATTCTAAGTTGCACATCATTTTCTTAAGAATATTAAAGCGCTGTCATCTCATTTTCAGTATTGCTCCCAACATGTGTGATGCCATTCACAGCCCTTATCCTTAGAACAGAATGTGTTTTCACCCTCTCGAAACTTCTAGGATCTTTACCTGACGTCTTCCTACTTCATGAATTATGCTAGGTGGGATGTGGGAACTCTTGGTGCTGTTGTTAGGTGCTATTAAATCGGCTCTAACTTATAACGACACTATAAACAACAGATCAAACCTTGACCGATCCTGAGTCCTCCTGGCGCCTCTGTACTTACACCTACGTCACAATCACTGTGTCAGGCCACCTCCCCATGCTCTCCTCCTCCAGTGCTAATCTACTTTTCCAAGCATGAGGTCCTTTCCCAAAGACCGGCCCCACCTGGCAACATCTCTAAAGTATGAGACCAAGTCTCACCTTCCCTGCTTCTAACGACCATCATGGCTGCACTTCTTCCAAGACAGATTTGTCTGTTCATGGCAGTCCATGGTTTATTCAATGACTTTCTGCAGCACATAATTCAAAGGCATCAATTCTTCTTCTGTCTTTCTTACTCAGTGTCCAGAACCCTCTCACAATCTGGAAATGCATTTATTTACCTTCTCTGGGGAGACTAAATTTCCAGTTTCTGCCAAAGTGTTAGGGCTATTGTCATAAAGTGGCTCTGACTCCCAGAACATAATTTGTGTTGGTTTTTTTTTTAAATTTTATTTTATTATTTTGTGTGTGTGTACCGTCAAATTGGATCTGACTGGTCCAGGAGGAGATTGTCCCTCCTTCTCCAGCAGAGCATCTGGTGGATTTGAACCGTGCCCAGAACATAATTTGTAAGAAACGCTGGCTGGCCCTAGGCCACCTTCACGATCATCAGGATGTCCAAGTCCATGGTCATGGTCATTGTGCACCTGAGTGCCCTCCAGCTGTGGCAGCCTGTCTCCCAGTCACGACCCCCGACCATCTTCTGTTGTCAGCCAGCAGGTTTTCACCGGGTCATTTACAAGGAGAATGTCATCCCTTTCTTCCTATGCTTTCTTAGATTGGAAGATCCACTGAAACCTGTCCACAGTGGAAACCAGGCTCATTGTCTGAAATGTCAGTGACATAGCTTCTAGCATCACAGCAACATGTGAGCCAGCCTAATGACAGACAAGTAGTCCCTATGACAGCTCCTTCTGTCAGCCCTCAGACGAGACATCCTGACCTCAGAGAGGCCTTCCCTCGAGACACATGAGAACCTCTTCCAAATGCTCCTCCCTAATCCCCGTCCCATCTCAATATCCTGTGTGCTCGCTAATATTGTTAAGTGCCGTCGAGTCGTAGGCGACTCATAGTGACCCTATGAACAAAAGTCCTGGACACCTGTATAACTTCTGTCCTTTCTCCAGGTTCATAGGGTTTCCAGAGGCAAGCTATTATGGAAGTGGATGCCACTCCTGCTTCCAAGCTTGTTTTAATCGGAGAGCTCCACCAAACACTGTCCACCACGGGTAACCATTCTCGCAAAGGTGGGTGACTCTACTCCGCAGCCCTCAGGCCTGCCTTAAATTGTTTTTGGTGAAACATTCTTCCAGGTCATGCAACCCTGGTATGTCCACTTGTTGTACAGAGATAACTCGTGGTTGCTGTGAAGCCGAACACTGTGACACTGATGAGTCAAATGCTGACTAATAGTTCTCCCAACTTGTTGAGTCATTCTTCTCCTGCGTTAGGCTGTGAGCTCCACAGGGGAAGAAATATGTGTGAGTACTGTGCCCAGTGCCCAAGGGAGTTTGATATATTTTAAAGAATAAATAATCCTGGCGAGCTCTGGTGGCCTAGTGGCAAGAAGCTGCACTGCAATCCAAGAGGTGCACAGTTTGAATCCACCAGATGCTCTGCTGGAGAAGGAGGAACAATCTCCTCCTGTACCAGTCAGATCTGATTTGACGGTACACACAAAAAAATAATAAAATTTTTTAAATAAATAAAAGAATAAATAATCCTATTACCAATAAATATCTGAGGACTACGTGTAATACTACACAACAGAAATTTAATCTTGCTATGAAAGGCAGGGATTCTAAAAGCTTGGAATAGACTCAAAAGGCTTTTGAAATTTCTGTTTCTAAGTGAGACATTAAAAATACTTACCGATCCCTTTGTGAGGATCAGGAGGACACGAAACAAACTTCAGCACCTCCGCTCGTTTCTCTCTCAGACCCCAGCGATACAGGATCTCCCCATAGCACTTCTTAAAGTCATCAAATTGCTGGGTGTTGGCAGGGTCCAGAAGCCTGGAGAGATATAATTTAAGAACTCCTATCATTCTGTCTCTCTCTCTCTCTCTCTCCTCCTCTCTCGGACTCTATCTCTCTGTAAATGGCATACAAGGAGATTGCCCATCTTTCTCCCATGAAGCAGTTGGTAGAGTTGAACTAGGGGCCTTTACATTAGCAGTACAACTCCTTACCCATTAGGCCAAAATTACAGCAGGTATAGTTCTGGAGACTCAGAGCTATGAGATGAGCGCTCTGGCCAGGAAAGGGGCTACCTCTTGTTTTTCTCATGCTGGTCCCGCTCTCGCTCACGAGGATCACTGTATGTCAGGCTCCCAAAGCGCATTTCTTCCGGTGAGGACTCTCCCCAGGGCGATGAAAGGTGCTCGGCCTCTCTCCCCGCTGGAGAACACAGAACGGACAGAAAGCTGCAGTCAGAGGACACATGTCAAGTATCTGAAAACTATTCCTTAGTGCAGTGGGTCCAAGTTATCTGCCGGTGGAAGCATTAACTGAGCATAAATTTCCAAGAGGCACAGCTAAAAAGAACCCTGCCCTGGACTTAAATTTTTGTCTAGATGTTCATTAAGGTAACTTGTCATTATATACAAACATGATGGAATGTAACACTATCGTTATTTATAAAGATATTTTAAGTGACATGAGAAAATGCATAGGATTTATTAAAAATACATATCACCCAGAGGCGCGCGGTTTGAATCCACCAGATGCTCTGCCAGGGAAGGAGGGACAGTCTCCTCCTGTACCAGTCAGATCTGATTTGACGGTACACTTACACAAAAAATAATAATAATAAAAAAACATACATATCACAAAGTCACATATGTAGAACACTCCGCATATACACAGAAGAAAATGTTCCAAAATGTTAATATATTTCACACAAATAAGTCCACGGTAGACCCTATGTCACAATGGACTTGACCATGACAGAGATCATGAGAACAGGGTTCAGATCTATTGTTCATAGGATTGTTGTGGACTTAACGGCACTTAACACCACCACACAAATGACACAAACATTAAGTTTTTGCAAACAGCATAACCTCCTTTGTGTGCTGTATGTGGGTGCATGTTATTTATGTGGGCATGTTTTAAATATTTTAAATTAACTCTAAAATAAAGGAAAATAAATTTTTCTTTATAAAAATTGGGAAACAACTGCACCTACTTCTAAGAGCTCTGTACAGTCAATGGGAGTGAACCTGACTTATACAGGAGAAGGTGAATGATGGGCAAGGGCAAAGGATCATGGGAACTATATATTAGGGAAAAAGTAAAGTCAAGTTTAAGACTGAACAGTGGGAAAGAAGTTACTTCCAAAAGTAGTTACGAGATGAGAAGAGACCTAGCAAGATGGAAGAAACTGGTTTGTTCAAACATGAAAACCCAGGGTTTGATAGCAACAATACGCCCATCAACCGAAATGTAAAGGGAAATAGGAATTAAGAAAAAATGGAGGAAATAAGGATAAACATGGAGAATACTCATCTTTCACAGATTACATATTTACAACATGCACACGGCTTTTATCCGAATGAAAACCCAGCCAGGTGATGCCATCTGCGTACCAACCTATGTTCCAGCCACCAGTGTTGAGTCCTGGGTCTGACATACTTGAGCAGGAACCAGAGGAGGTGAAACTGGGCTGTAGATGGGGCGAAAAACCAAACAGGAAGAGCATCAAAGTACCATCCCACATGGCATTTCACACTCCAGAACAAAGCAGGAAACCACACACTTACATATCGACTATGGGACACCACAAGATTGGAAGAACGGCTGGGAAAAGGCCCAAAGGGGTTTGGTATCCCCTGAGGCCTAGACTGCGCTTCAAACACACTGCAGAGCATGGCCAGTGTCTGCACATCCCGAAGCTGACAGTAATGAGCCAACCTGGAGAAAAAATAGGAGACAAGAGCCGATCAAGGTGCAGGGCCGTGGAAGGGCAGCCCCACAATCACAAGGACATGGAGGCATTTTCAATTGTGCCTCAAAAACCTCCATCAGGAACTGGGACTTTCAATACACCAAGTGGCCTGACTAAATCTGGTTTGGAATAAAACACTTCAGAGTATTACCAATGACCTAAATGGCCTCCAGAAACATCTCCTGGCATTAATACATGAGTTCAGTGTCACCTTGCCAAGAACCCAGATGACACCAACTTTAGAGTGACATGGGTCACGCTTTCTCAGCTTTTCTCAGTCCTAATTGTAAAGGTTATCATACTGCTGTTTGGGGTCAGGGACCCTTGATGGACCTCCCCCTTCAAATCTAAAGCTACAGGAAGGTGCCCACTGTCTCACCAATACAGAGTGAGCAGAAAACAGGTAGACTAGAGAATTATGAACGTACGCTGTTAAAGAAGATCATGGGATATTTTCACGTTGGTCCATGTTTGGCCTAAAAAGGTAAGCAAAGCAACTCCAACCCAAAGGGAGCGGATCTCCTCTGTTTAGGACCTGGGCCTCACTATTCTAGAGGTTCATGTGGTTTTGTTTCCTTGGACATTATTTTTTTTATTTCTAGTATGCCATATTTTTGGTGCCATACATTGAACACAGACACTATTTTGACCAGACTGACAACCTTGGACATAAATTGTCTAACAGTGTGAAACAGAAAAACCAAAACACAGTTCTCCAAGCTGTTCTCAGGGGCTAAAATCTATGGCACCCGAGACAAAACTTTACCACCTCGAGAGCTTCGACTTCTATGTTCTGGGGGCTCTGCACCTTTCTCTCAGTAATAATGTAAAGTGTTTACAGACCTACAGCTTATATCACTCACTGTTCCCACTTTTACTCTCAAAACCTACAGAGACTCCAGCAGCTGTCGCCCGAATGGATGTCGAGCCCAGGGTGTTTCCAAATCTGGATCGGACTTCGGACCAAGGCAAAGATCTGTCGCAACGGTGGCCAGTGACCAAACCTGGGCAGACAAGATAGCAACATGCAGACTCAGATTGGTGGGGGACCAGAAGAGAAATCACAGTAGAACTTTTACCCTACTCCACACGTGGGTCATGAGCTCATTTCCCAGAAGTGTTACCCCAGACCTACTGAACCACAGTCTGCATTTAAACAACATCTTCAGGGAACTTATATAAGGAACAAGTGTCAAATAACTTCTTGGTACAAAGCAGGTGTCAGAGAAACAACACCATGGGTAACTACTCGGGACATCTATTTCGCCCCGACACTCAGTGACTTTTCTGCTGTTTCCTCAGTGAACTGTGTTGTGGCGGAGGGAGAGGCACTGTAGCACTTTTCAATTCTGTCCTTCTTCACTGAAATGATGAAGAACTTTGTAGCCTTCATTACAAAAGTTTCCATATACGCTTTGGTGCTTAAGAAAAATGAATCAACTGAGCAGCGAAGTGTTGAGGTGAGCAAGGATTGTGGTGGCAAGATCCTGGTGAGAGCGAGACTCTGATGGTGGAGAGTCTGTGGTGTTACCGTGGACAGACGGTGGTAAGGTGTGAATTGAGGCGTGCATCTTTGCTGGACACACTTAAAGGTTTATGTGTTCTTGTCAGATAGTCGAAGGAGAAGCTGACTTATAACTGCTGTGAGGCAAGCCTTGCTGGATGATTTGGACTGGACAGCTCAACTGAAACTGGAGCCTGGAATTATTGAAGAATTGTGCCTTGGAACTGTTGGGCTAAATCCTGGACTTGGACCATAAGATATACTTTGCCCTCACCCTCCAACTTCCTTCCCTAATAAACTCCATTGTTGGTAAAAAAAAAAGTCAAGACAAAGTCAACTTGGTTTTCTTTTTGTTGACAACTTAACCTGAGAAATCCCTCCAAGCTGAAAATTTCCTGGGGTTTGGAGTCATCAATGGCAATACATGCCCATTAAATGCCTATTAAATGTAGCAGACACAACACCAATGCTGTCAGGGAAGGCCCCAGGCCCCTAATCCCTTTAAAAAATGTAATAATAACTTCAGAAAACCTTTCCTTGTGGCAACATAAAACTGTATGTCCAATAATGGAAAACACTTTACTAGAGAATCTAGAATGAAAAAAAATGGTGTGGACTTTAAATCAAAAGAGTTGAAAACTGAAAAAGAACAAATAAGCAAATAAAAATCCTGCAAAACCAGGTAGGGAAGCATGTCATCCACATACAGTTAACTCCATATGTGGCACCAGCATGCTCATACGAGCACAACAAGGAACTTGACGCTCACAGCATTCATCCCCGGAATCAACGAACGAAGGGCTGCTGGGAGGAGTGAACGGTTTTCCAGAACAGAACGTCCGCTATATTGACCGATGACCGAGGCGCAGTATTTCCTCACCTATAATTTGAGCTGTGGTGCTGGAGAAGGGTACTGAATGTACCCTGGACTGCCAGGAAAACAAACAGATTTATCTTGGAGAGGATTAAACCAAGCTACTCCTTGGAGGCAAAGATTCTGGGGCTTCGTCTGACATACTTTGGACATGTTGCCAGGAGGGACGGGTCCTTGGAGAGGGACATCATGCTTGGGAGGGTGGAGGGACAGCACAGGAGGGGAAGACCCTCTATGAGATGGATTGATTCGGTGACTGGGGTAATCGGGATGGGTGTGTCAGAGGTGGTGCGGTTGGCGCAGGATAGAGCAGGGTTTAGAGCTGTTGTGCATAGGGTCGCTATGAGTCGGAAACGACTCGACGGCACATAACAACAACAACAACAACATAATTTCTTAAATGCCTTCAACATAAAGAGTGACATTGGGCTTATTTCTATGATTCACAAAACAGTGGACACATCATCTTCAATACACACTTAACCAAAAAAAATTCTTCAAATATCTTCACCGGTGTCATTTCTCCGTCCAACTAGCACTTGTGAAAAACTACAGGAAGTGGACCAAATGTTGGACCATTTGTGGACAGATTTCATCAATCAAGGCTTCGGTGTGGGAACTTTACATATACGTGCTCATTTAGTTCTCAAAATGACCTGGAAGTATTACTCCCATTTTAGAGTTGAGGAAATTGAGGTACGAAAGGATTAGCTAGCTTACCTATTAGTTGACAGTTTATGTAACAAAAAAGGGATAGAACCCAGATAAAAACTCAGATGAGTCTCTGACTGTAAAGGTCTTTTTCACCTCATTTGGAATATTGAATATATTATGGACTGCTAAGAGAATGAACAGGTTTGTCCTGGAGAGGGTGAAGCCAGGCTGCTCCTTGGAGGCAAGGATTCTGAAGCTCCGCCTGACATACTCTAGACATGTTACAAGGAAGGACCAATCCTTGGAGAGGCATGTCATGCTTGGGAGGGTGGAGGGACAGCCCAGGAGAGGAAGATCCTCGATGAGATGGATTGCTTCAGTAACTAGGGTAATGAGGATAGGTGTGTCAGAGACAATGAGATTGGCACAGGATAGAGCAGGGTTTAGGGCTCTTATACATAAGGTTGTTACGAGTTGCAGGGGACTCAATGGCACATAACAACAACAGGACTAGCCTGAACCTTTCAAAGAAATTCCACGTGAAAAGTACTAACAACTGAAAATGAAGTAGTTTTTCACCAGAGATACTGTGCAAGTCTGCCTTAGTATATTGTGTTTCAAATTTTCTCAAGTACTCCTTATGTAAAGAATTTTTTTTCCTCTCCTCATTTTACTTTCTCTCTCACTCTCTCCGTCAGATTCTGACCTAACTTGCCCAAGGCTTTACCTCTAGGAGGCAGAGTTGAACTGTCATCACTCAACCATTTATAGCTAAACTACAATTTCTCTAAGATTTCTACCTCATGTTGTCTTCTTCATGTTCATGGATCTGTTCAGGTCACTGAGTCTTTTAAAAAAAGATTACCGGCCCTTTAGAGTAGTGAGAGAAGATCTTCACCCTGAAACCCACAGCGTCCCTTTTCAGCAGGAAGTAGCTAAGAGAATACGCCGTCCCCTTTTCCTTATG